GTTCACAGGTGATAGGTAGTTAGGTCTACTTCCTTCATATATGTAGTAGCGACCAAGTAGCGATTTTGCCAATTTTTCTGAAAGTAATTTAGAGTATTGTTACGACAGCGGAAGTCACGTGAACCTGGTAACACGTAATGAGTATCTCGAACGTTCCTGCAGGTTCGAGTGTTTGTTAGACATGCACTCTTATAGTTTATAAGCCGGCAAATAAAGTGATGGAGGAGAATAATTGCAGACAGACAGAGACAGACAATTGAGTCAAGCATGGTAGTAAACATAAGTAAAGTGCATGAATCGTTGTGAATTATAGCGTGTGTTTAAGTTAAAGTGACTGTGGAAATTAAGTGTATTGCAAAGTTGTTTTGAGAAAGAATAAACTAGTTTTATTTTAGAAAGGACTTGTAATGCTGAAGTTCTTTGGAAAGAAATTATACGGGACATTAACAAACGACCAGAGACGTAACAGTATTATGCAAAAGTCTATCAGCTATAGTTTGTAGATTTGCATAACTGTGCATAAATTTTGATGAAGTGCTACAGGGAATTTATATGCTGTGATAATAAGTGAGTTTCAAAATGGATTTAGAAAATTCAGACAGACAACAGATCACTTGGTTAGATTAACAGAAACAATTATAGATAGCTTCAATAAAAATGAATGTAGTGTCGCTTGCTTTCTCATGTCGAGAAAGCTTTCGACACTGTATGACACAATGGTCTTTGGTTCCCATGACAGAAATGGAACTACCGCGAGTGATTATTCACAGCCTATCTAAGTTTTTGGAAAATAGAAATTGCAAAATAAATGTCAGGGGAACCTACTCTGAGTCATTCTCCCTATCTCTACTAAACTGTGAAACTCACTTTAAAATACCGCCCGTTACGGCTAATCACTCACACACCAGTTAACTTCACATTTTCTTTTGCTAACTAATTTTCTGATTGAACTGTACTTCACTTGCGCTCGCTTAGTCGCCTATATTCATATAATTTTCACTGAGGCCTGGAATTTTCTACAAATTATGCGATCGACACTATAGGGTAACAATACTCATTCAAGGTAACGAGAAAAATAGCGCAGATTCGAGTATCTTGGCGACAACAATTAAACCACACGCATAATATACGATTCTTACCGAGTTACCCAATCAAACTTGTCATAACTATCGCCTTTACAATAATTCCTCTTAACTCTTGTTATTAAAAGTAGATAACCATTAAATGTTAAATCACCAAATAAGCTAAATAATAACTATCAAACTAAGCAGTCTTGTATATACAACAATGATCAATAACATTAAACTTCATATCTGTGAAATAGTGTACTATGAAACTTAACAATAAATGTAGATGTATGTTATTGTTTGTTTTCCAAGAATATGTACCGTACACATAACTGCAACTCTGTATATGTTCTCAAGCAGAAGTAAGAGTTGATAAACTTGGTGTTATCAATTTGTCTTTAGAATGGAATGAGCTAACACGTTTGTGGTATTAAATATAGATATATATATTGCAGGGCTTATATATTACTTTAAATATACCAATTGTGTTTTCATTTCCCTGTAGGTCTTTTATTAGATGTGAGGCATAGGAGAAATTTATTCTCAGATTTTTACAACAAATATGCAAAACAATACAGAGGTGAGTTTTGTTGACTAGTGTTTTATTAACTTGCTTTCTAGTACTAGGTTGATTTCCATTATTAACAGTAGAAGTGTTAGTATTGCTAGACAATTTGAAATCAAGTATTCAATCAGTTTGTTAATTCTTGACTCTCATTGTTTATTCTCACATAAATAATGAAGACTGTAATTAACCTCTAGATATTCATCAACTCCGTCAGTGAAGGACGTTGTTTGTTGGCCTGTTCTGTAAAAATGTGTAAAGTCATAGCAATATGTCTAATAGAGAACAACAAAGGAAGAAAGGGAAATAGAACAAAAACAACAGTTTTCTAGGTCACATGTTTATGATAAAAGTGCACAGAATCTGACTGAACAAAAGATGTTAAAAATTCTTATATTTCTGAAAGAGGTACAGAAATATCTGCAAAAAGAGCCATAGTAACACTAACAGTTACAATACATCATACTTTACCTAGTAATACTAGAAAACACCTTAAACTATCATTTTTGAGAATTTTAGGCAGAACTCAAGTATGCTATGGTTACTTATTTATATTTCATTATTACTTTAATTAGTGTTATTTTCCAGTATCTAATTATAAATAAATTGTGTTGCAGTTTTCTGTTTTAAATTTGTTTTTAAGTTTTAGTGAAAACAAGGAAGTTTTGCATTTAATACTGATGCTGCCTGAGTGAAATGTTACCTCAGTGCCAAAGTTTACAGTTTTCTTTGCTCTGAAAGAGCATGAAATTTTAATAAACAAATATGTTAGCCCTTTTAATTGTGCAATTTATTTTCAAAATAATTCAAGTAGTTTTCTGGTAAAAGAACAGATTAGTACTTATGAGCAAGTAATGATGTGGATTTTCTTCCATGTGTGTTTTATTATTTTTCAACTAGTGTATAAACATCAAGGATGTTTGACTTTTAGAAAATATTTTGTGTTCTATAAATGTGGTAATTGACATTAAAAACAACAAGAACCTCATAATAGATATATATTTAATTAAACATGTCCAACTTTTATTAGGTAAGGTGGAGAATTTGAAGGACATGTACATTTATGTGGGTAGTTTTCGAGCCAATTGTGTTCATGATAACATAGAAAACTATTGGCTATCCCTGGGTCCAGCAAGGATCCCATGGCAATTCCATGTATATGATCATAGATGATGTTATTAAAGAGGAAATGGTTTAACTAGTGCATAAAAATCAAGGATGTGTGAATTTTAGAAAATATTTGATGTTATTAAAAAGGAAATGTTTTAACTTTGTGGAGAGGGTAAGAAGTTCCAAGAATTGTTTATTGGTGAAACCAAGATACTGCTTCCACAAAGTTAAATCATTTCCTCTTTCATAATTTAATTTATGCTCGAATTAGTGGAATCACCATGGGATCCTTGCTGGGTCCAATGATAGCAAATAGTTTTCTATGCAATGAACAAGTGTATAAAGAGTGGTGCATAGATTAATGGTGTTTGTAATATTTACAATTGTACACATACTTTAACATTAATGTGCAGTATATATAGCATCACTCACTGTGAAAGTAATAAATAATTTTTACTGTTATCATGAATTAAGAGAAAGATGGATAATTTTTCTGAAACTTGTTATAGAATTTGTAAATTTTACACAATTTCAGAAAATATTGGATGTGACTTTTGAAACATACATTGGTAAACGAGTCCCAGAATGGAAGGAAAGAATTAAGGGTATGTTAATTATTTAAGGATATTAGTTCATAATTACTGAAGAATGGATAAAAAATGCTGAATAAACATATTTAATATGACTGAGAACTAGCAAAACTTCAACACTTGCTATAAAAATGTATTAGTAACATTTCAAACTATGAATTATTGCTGTAGGCATTTATGTAGTGTCATTCTTGGTCTACTGTCTATAAATTTATGTTGGTTGTTATAACATCATAGTTTGGCATTTCAGAACTATTTTCTATTTATTAAAACTATCTTGTCATCCTCTTTACACTTAAAGTAATTCTCGAGTGAATTACTTTTTATTACATCCAGTTTTGAGTTTGTTATATCACAGGATTTCTAATTGACACAAAAGCTTTTGTGATCACTTCTTTTTCATTTTCTTTTAGGATAAATTTTTTTTACATGGAAATTTTCAAGAAATCTCCTCAGTTGTGGGTTACATCAGCTTCTACAACCTATCAAGCATTTTGGTTATTTCCTTGAACCAGTGTTCAGCTTTATCTAAATGAACTTCTTATAGCTTTATCTGTTCTCAAAAGCTTTTACATATGTTTCTTTCTTCTCTTTTTTAACACATTTTTAGATTTTTCTTTTGTAGTTAAAAGTGCTTGACCTTTAACCCTCTTACTGATTTTTTTTTCAACTTCTTCCTGATTATTCTTAGCCATGTAGTTGTTTCATAATCTCTTATCAGACAAGCTGGCTTCTCGGGGTAAACGGTGCTCCAGATAAGATATTAACTGTGTAAATGTGCATTTTTTTAAAAATAAAAGTACATTAGAAATAAAGATTGTGTGTAGCAAATATACATACCCTTTGCCTATATATATTTATATATACCATTCACATATATCTTCATGTTTGCTAGTATGAAAGAAATAAAAACCTATATCTTTAATAAAACAAACACAAAATGTGCAAGATCATTCCCACAGTAAACTGATTGCGGAGTTGTACATTGATTTGTGGTTTTATGTAAAGTCCTTTATATGAAACAAGCTAAGGTATCAGTTCTTTTTCTAGGTTATGAACTAAAAAAATATAGAGTGGATGCTATGATAAATAACAAAAAAGCGTAACTTTCACACAATTTATATATAACATAACATATTATCACAGTATTCATTATTACCTCACCAAAGGTTTTGTATAAGGTTTAAGAACATAATATGTATATACATAAAACATGGTATACACTGTGCAATGGTCAGAGTCACTTTGTATTAAGAAGTAGCATCCAAATTAGTGGCAGTAGTGATGCTTTCTGTTACACTTTCAACACCCAACTCTTAATGTCCATCCGTAGTGTTTCACATGATTAATTAATTGATGGTCACTGGCTGCAGAAGTGTCATATGAGCTTAAGCTAAAAGGTCATGGGTCAAAGTAGGAAGTGAGTATAACTCAAGAAACGGCTCTTTATATCAGCCTTATGGTGGTTGTTGGAGTAGAAACTTCAGCTGAGTTTATGTAACATTGCAATAGTGGCAGCCATTTTTTTCTCATTGTATTCCTCCTTAGAGAGTAATGGTGCACTCCCTGAGATATATAAGATGTTTGTGTGCCCCACACTTTGTGTATGTTGTATAATAGAACATTTTAAAACACGGTAATACCAAAAAACTTGTTTAATATGGACGTTTTGGAATTTCCTCAATTTTCCATTATCAACATAAATATCAGAAAAAAGTTAGTTCATAGTATTCAAATTACAAAATACATTGTTAGCATTGAGTGGGTTTTTGTATTCAGTCGGCAGTTTAGAAAGAACAAATTTAAAGGGTAACAATATAATGGAATATATGACAAAACATTGGGCATAATAAATAACATTGTTAAGAGAAACTATTATAGAGAAAGGTTTAAATACAAGTATAAACACTGTACCTTTAAAATAATAATAAATATCAAATAAAAACACTGAGATACCGGAATTGATTACATTAATGACAACAGTTGATGTTAATATTTAGTGTTGGGTGACCATTAAAAATGGAAAGGCTTTCTATAATAAAGAGTTTGTAATCTGTGTTTATACTTATATTTCAGCCTTTCTCTATAATAGTTTCTCTTAACAATGTTATTTATTAGACATGTGCATGCCAAATGTTTTATCGTACATCCCATTATATTGATACCATTTAAATCTGTTCTTTCTAAACTTCAGATTGAATATGAAAACTTACTCAATGCTAAGGTTGTTTTTTTTGTAGTTTGAATATTATGAATTAACTTAATTAAATTAATGGAATTTAAGGAAATTCAGAAACGTCCGTATTAAAAATGTTCTTTGGTATTACTGTGTTCTTAATATTGATTAGAAAATTTAATAATTATTTTTAGTGTGTAAGGACGTGGGGCCATCTGTGAATGTAGTTAACCTAAACCCACGTCAAAGATAATAAATGCTCAATGACAGCAATAATGGGGTTGAAGCTAGAAGTTGTTAAATAACAGACAAAGAAACAGGCACACAGATTTTTGTGCTTTATGTATATATATATATATATATCATATAAATTGTTTATTTTCCACCAATGTATGGAAGTTGCCTTGAGGAAGAGGAATCCTTAGTGGATCCTTGATACAGAAATAAGAAGAGCAAAGGCATAGTAAATAAATTAAACAGCCCCAAATGGCAGGTGATTGATGACTGAAAATGTCACTGAAGCCTGAAAATATGCAAATTTTCAGCAGTGACTTTTCATATTCACGTTCACAGCTTATTCTAGGAATAAAATAGTCATTATGTTAAAAGATTATCTGGAATACTGGATAGTGTTTCATTTTTAGATGACTAAAATTGAAGCTTTCTAATATGCATGATTATTCAAAATACAGATAAAGTGCTGAAATTCTGAGCAGTTCATTTGAATC